TTCACTCATGTTGATATGATCAGGTACAAGAAACCTGGTTTTATCCAGGACAGGAAGCTGCTTCTCACCCTTGTATTGTTCTCTTATCACCGGGATGCTGCTCTTAGGATACGTAGGACATCTAGACATCTTCTGCTCTTTGCTTGAAAGTCTTCTCAACTCGTGGCGCACAGGCCTGGGTGGTGGCTCTGACTCTGGAGACAGGGATTTCCCTTCACATTTCTAATTTGTATAACTTTCTACAGTTTTTAACATTGTTTTCACATAGTGATCCTGTTAACATTCACAAAATCTTTGTAGTAGATATCATCATCATCATCCCCATTTTACTAATGAGAAACTGAGGCTCAGAAAGTTTAGGTAACACAGTAGTAAACCATGAAACTGAAACAAAAAAATCCTATTTCATTCCCAGTCTGGTGTTTTTTGTCTTTGCTGGGATTACATCCAGGCCACAGGTACAGAAGAGGAGGAGCGGGCATGCATGTAAGCGAAAGTCTGGGACGTCAGACAGAGGGAAATAGTCTCCCAGGTTTCCCACTATAGACAGAAACAGAACATTTCTTTGAGCCTCATTTTTCCTATCCGTAAAATGGAAATAATGCTCTATGTAGAGTGGTTATAGGAATTGAGATAATGTATATAAGGTTTCTAGCATAATGCCTGGCATTTATTTAACAGTTGATATATTTTAATTTCCTTTAGATGTTCTTTTAATTTTCAGCCTGCTATTGTAAAAAGTGTTTACTATTTAGTATCTAATGGAAGAAAATCACACATACCTAGAAAAAGATGTAAATCTGTTGACTGCTTTATTTTTTCAAATGTGATAGAGTATACACTTTTTTACTTATGAAGTTTGAAAATCTTTGCTCTGAGTTTTCACTTTATAACTTTCTTAGACTGCAACTGTGGTAGATTTGGTGACAACCCTTCTATGTCATTTAGGCTGCTTCATGATGCAAGTAAAAGAAAACCTGACTTAAATTTACTTAAACTATAAAATGATTTGCTTTTCTGGCTAAGTGGAAGTCCCAAGTGGGGCTGGCTTAGAGTGAGGCTTGACCCTGGGCCTCGAGGTGTCACTAGAGCTCTGCCTTCACCCCGAGTCCGTGTTGTCCTTGGCAAACAGTCAGAAAGAGAGGAAGAAAAAACTGGCTCTGAATTTTACTCTTAGAGTCAGAAAATTAGTCTTTAATAAGACCAACCAAACCTCTCAATTGGAAACAAGGTCAAACTGACTTCCTTAAGATCACATTGAAACCACCTATATTAAAATACTGTAAGGACATTAGGCAGGGGTATAGTGATAAAAGTCTGATTTCTATAAAAATATAGATATAGCTAAAACATAACCAGGCATTGTTCCCTAACTTCTCTACTGCTGTAACTGCTCACTGCTTAAGTTTCACATCTCCTTGACAGGTGCAAGATTTGTGATTTCTCCAACTGCTTCTATAGGTAGCATCACTATTCTAAAAATTAAGACTAGTCTTTGAGATATCTTCCAGACTCTGCATTTGTGACTGATGGGAACCAGAATAGTGGCCCTACATAGGAACTGATCCAACAAGTCTTGTGATCCCCTAACCAAGAACTGTCTCAACTAAGAATACGATTTCTGTTCTGAAACCTACAAGTTCATCCTCAGCCAATCAGCAGACCAGTTCCCTAGCCCTTTGTTTGCCAAAGCACCTTTAAAAATCTTTGCCCTCAAATTCTTGGAGGTGGATTTGAGAAATTACTCCCATCTCCTTGCCTAGTGTCTTGTGATATTAAACTCTTTCTCTGCTGCAACTCTTGCTGTCTCAGTACATTGGCCTTTCTCTGGGAGGTAGGCAAGGGACTTGGTTGGGTGGTAACATGATGCAAAGGTCCCATCTTAGAAACCCAAAATACTCACAAAATTCAACTTAGAAACTTAAGATGGGGCCAGGTGCAGTGGCTCATGCCTGTAATCCTAGCACTCTGGGAGTACTCTTTGAGGCAGGAGGAGCTTGAGCCCAGGAGTTTGAGGTTGCAGTGAGGTATGACACCCCTGCACTCTACCTGGGGCCACAGAGTGAGATTCTGTCTCAAAAAACAAAACAAAAACAAAAACCAAATACACAAAACAAACAAAAACCTCCTAGAACTCAAAATAGAACTGAAAAATAACTCCGGATTTTACTTCGCTGCTCAAAGAGAGAAGATAAAATGTTAAGTAAATCCCCAAGGTAAGAAAGGTAGCAAGATGAATTACCCATGGACCAAGAGAATGCCTAATCTATACAGAGAATTGTGGTTAGCTATTATTATCAAGAAAGTTATCACTTTGTCATATAAGATCAACACTGTTGAAATAGCTCTTAAAAGATTGCATGAAGCATTACATTTTCAAATAAGTTTTAAGTAAATTTCAAGTGAACTCTTTGAAGACAGAATCTAGTTTTACTTATCTTTTATGTAACAGGCATCCAATAAATGTTGGTTAGTAACATTGACAGGCTGGTCACCTGTCCTGAGGAAGCTGTTTTCCACATCCTTCTCTAGAACTTTTAATTAACTATTACTAAACTGAGTCAGCATGATAGAGTGGAAAAGGTTGACTATGGTGTTTGAAGTTGAGTTCCACTTTTACTAGCTGTACGATCTTTTAAGTCATTTGGCTCTTCTAAATTGCAATTCCCAATTGTGGCTGATATGAGAATTCACGTGGATTACAATGAGAATTCAGCAAAGTAATGTTTATGAAAAATTCTCTATAAACTGTATTTTAAAAGGTATGAGATTATCACCTGAATGTATTCTGATTTAAATTGAACTGAGCTAGAACTGGCCTTGAGAGATAATTTGGTTTAGAAATCCTATCTTCAGCAGGACATTTATGAAAATTCCATTTACTTACAATTAGCTTTCTTTAAAAAATATTTTAACAATTAAAATTATCTTTCTAAATATAAATTTGATAACGACCCATACAGAGTCTGTCTCCCTAAGCCTTCAACATAGTCAAAACTCCTTAACCAGGCGTATCTTCAGTCTGTTCTCAAGTAGGGTATCACTGTCCATTTCCACATATGACTTTGTCATACATAGCACTTATCAAGCTGTGATGTATTTATTCGTCTACCCAGGTCTTCCCTACTAGATTCTGAGTTTCAGAAGAAAGGGCTCTAAACTTGAGGTTCATGAACATACTTGTCCAAGGGAGCGAGAGGGGTTGTAACTGCTATATCTTGTTTTCTTCCTAACAATCCCTTGCACTGTGCCGTTAACGTTCATAAAAAAAGGTCCACACAGAACGTTTTAAACACCCAAGGCGTTTCAGCTTTTATTGCCAAACTGGCCAACAAGCCACACTCCGGCTCTTAACCTCCTCGTTAGTATTTGCATTTGGCTCCTGCCTTCCTAAGGCCTCCAAATCGAGGACCCATTTTGGAGTCATTCAAGAGGTTTTTCTCAAAACCTGGAGTAGCACAGACGCCTTGCATAGCTCGAAAATCTCGTTTCTTTAAATCGGAGCACCAGAGGCGACAGCAGCCACTGGGGGCAGAAGGCAGCGGTCCGCGCACGCCGGGTGCGGGGCCGCCCCCGGGCCGTGGGCCTTCTCCGAGTTTCCGGCGCCGCCCCCGGGATCTTTTATGGAAGGTGGCCCAGCGGGTGCAGGGGAAAAGGGATGGGCGCAGGAAGGAGGCGGGATTGGCCCGAGAGGAACCCGCTCCTGGACCCTCTAGGGATCCCAGGCGGCCTCCCAGGCCGCCATCCAGGCGGCCCCCCTTGAGCAGACAGCAGCCGCAATAGAGCCTGACGCGGCCACTCATTTAGATTGACTCCTCCGGCTTAGAGTTTTCCTCATTTTGTGGAGGGGCGGGACTTCCTGTTTTATCTCCCAGTGACTTCCGGCAAGAGCTGGCGGGTTTAAAATAAGACGGCACATGAGGCCGCCAGCCACTAGGGTCAAAAAGAAGGGGCTCGACATGGTTTTACTAAATCAGTTCCAAGATCTTATTTTTTTGGTTTTGGTGTCTGGCGCTCCATCCACGACAGTCAGTCGCCCGGGGAACAGCCGGAAGTCGCTCAACGGAGAGAACGGAAGTCCCACCCCTTCCTCCCAAAGGGAAGACGGTGAGCCGGAGGAGTCAGTCAGAGGGGCGAGCAGGAGCGATTCCGTCGGCAAACAGGTAAGTTATTCTCTGGCCGGGGCGGGGGGTTTGGAGGCGGGGACCGTCCGGCGTCAGCGCGGGGCCTGGGGGCGGTGGCTTGAGGGCCCGGAGCCGGGCGGCTCGGCGCCCGGAGCCCCGTCAGGGCCTTTCGCTCTTTCTCCTCCCCCCTCCCCCCGCCTCCGCCCCTCCCTGCTCGCCGTTCCCTCCCGACGCCCGCCCAGACTCACGCCCCGACACACACCCGCGCTCGCTCGCGCGCGCCGCCCCGCCGCCCTCCCCGGCGCCCTGCCCTGTCACCGCTCCCTCCGCAGGCCGGTCCTGCCGCCGCCTCGCGCCCCGTCGCCCCGCCGGCTGGGGCTCTGGTGGAACGAGCGGGGCCTCGGGTGTCGCCTGCCGGGTCCGCCTGTCAGCGCAGACACAGCCCTCGGCTCCTCCGCACGCTCCCCTGCGCCGAGAGCGGGCCGCTCCTGCTCGCCCGGGTTTCTCCCACATGAAACACAAACGCGTCCCCGACTGCAGAGCCGCCGAGGTTTTAGCTTGCGGCTTCCAGCGGTGGCTTTCCAGGCCGCCCGCCCACTCTCGCGTCACCCCCGGGTGCCCCGACCGCGCCGCTGCCACTCGCGCCTCCTTCCGTTAAGCGACGCCGGTGCGAGCGGGAGGGCGGCCACACCAATTTGGTGACCGACGGCACCGCGACTGCAAGTGAAGCGCCTTGGCCAGTCGTGGTTTCGGCGCGCCCTGCGCGACCCGGGGCTGCCTGACACCGCAGTCTGCTGCGGCGGGCTTTTGTCGTAGTAGAGGCTCACCCCTTCCCGGCCAGCTAGGGTGCTTGCCCCTCTCTGGAGTCCACGCCGGTGGAGCTGGGTGGCAGGAGCTGCAGACCCCTGCGGGTTGCCTTGGGTTTGGGGTAGCCCATTTATTTCATTAGGGACTTCTGGAACAGGACATCTTGTTAGGGTTGGCAGCCGTGGACACATGTAGAATTTATGTTATAGGTAATTATAGTTTTTAGCAGTGATTTAACTTTACAGTCTCTGCCGGGTGGGGCTAGTTACAGTATGTTTTGGGATGAGGTAGGAACACTGTAGGGAGGGTCACTAACATATTGATCAGAACTTTATTGGAAGAGCTCATATGTCATTTGACATACTTGGTATACTTCATCTGGAACAGCAACCTTATATAGTAGGAATTATTATCCCCTTTTTACAAACGAAGAGTAAATGACTCGTTCAAGATTAAGGTAGGGAGACAGAGCTCAAGTGTTTGTTACTCATTCTTTTTCTATTTGCTGCATTCGAAATTACCACTAGGGCCACTAGGCAGAGCTCTCCAGTAGCTGCCTTCTTGTGTGACACGTGAGGCAGTGGTGATAATTGCTGATGACACAGTTGCTACTGGTGCCCCCCCCCCTTTTTTTAAACTGTTTATTTTGGAATAAGCTCAGCTTTACAGAGAAATTGCAAGATGGGACAGAGAGTTCCATTTGTACCTTTTTGTGTGTGTTTTGTGTTTTGTTTTCCTAGATCTTTGCATCAAGGAAATCCACTGGTACCTTTTAAGCAAAGCAAAGTGGCTCCTCTTCAAAGATGTTGGTTCTTGCTTTGTGCCAAACACCATCCTAGGAGCTGGAGATAGTAACTTAATTCTCCAGAGGATTTTGAGATCTTGCTGAGGAGATGTGTAAATAAATATAATACCTTTTTCTAAGTGCTGAAATGGAGATGAGAGCACAGAGGAAGTTATGGCTGGCTGACTGGCAGGGAGTGGTGACAGCTTACAGGATATAGTATTTAAATTAGGTCCCAAGGACTTCTTATTCACTTGGTTGAGGGGACATTTTCTCCAACATGCATTCAAATTAGTTTTATTTTGTTAGAGTAGAACTCTCTCTAGCCTTAATAAAATAGACTCTTCTAATTTGATTTTTCTGTCTCATCTCCTTTAAGGAGGTAGAATCCCAGGTGGTGAGAAGAATCCTAGTTTATAAATCCATGAATAGGATAATAAATTAAGCTGTATTCTAATTGGTAACTGTGCCACCCTTGACCATAGTTGACATTGGTTTTTTAGGAATGCAGTATGTACCCCCACTGAGAGTTTTCTTTTCCTTGCTTTCCAACTCTGATTTTCAGTGGAATTAAGTAATTCATTCAGGAAACATTTATTGCACACTTGTTTTGTGCAAGCCATTGCACAAGAATGGAACGAAAGGATTTATTGGAGGGCTGTGGATGGCTTTCAGGATTGATGGGAAGGCTGGGGACCTGGGTTCAGAAAACAGACAGGAAGCAAAAGAGGCTGGGTGGTTGAGGCCACAGCCAAGGTCATATCACATAAATAGTCTGGCTAGAATTTTGCTGCTGGAGAAACTGCCACCTTTGTTGCTGGACTGCTGATTCTCTTCTGCCACTGAAAAATCTCTTAATGCACCTGCATGTTTGTGACATTTTTCTAGCATTATAGTTCTACTTGAGAATATGGGATTGGCTAAGTCACTCTAGTTGCCAGGGAGCAGGAAGGTGGAGTAGCTGTTCACTCGCTTACCTTTCACAAAGAGCCACACACCAAAGAATTCCTATGAAATAAAAAGGTGGCTCAGGGTGTGGGTAGCCCTAAAAGCAAATGTTCAGCTTCACCATCTACTCCAGACTTGGAGGCGTTAGGGAGGAATACCAAGAGGTAATGATGTCCAGAGAATGAATGGGAGCTCACTGGGCGAAGAGATAAAGGGAGGATGGGGAATAGAGTTTCAGGTAGAGGAACTCCAAGTAATATGGAACGTTTCAGGAACCGAAAAGTGTTTAGGATAGCTGGATCGTGGAATATGACAGGAGGTATGAATGATGAGGCTGGCAGGGCCCCTTTGAAGAAATGTAGGCAGCAGAGTGGCATGCACAGACTTTTTCGTTGTTTTTAACTGATTTGGTTGCAACTATGGAAACCCATTGGCATTGTGTAAGACTCAGGGAGGGGGCTCTTTTGGAGGCTGTTGCATTTATCCTAGGTGAGGTGTCACAGTAGTCTGAGTTAGGATAGTAGCCAAGTAGGTAGGAGAAGGGAGTGGATTGTACATGTTCAGTTAGTAGAGTGCATTTGGGGATGGAGGGAGTGAGCGAGGTAAGTGAGTGGGGGAGTCAAGGTGGACACTGGGGTATCTGCTTTGGGTGATCGAGTAGCTCCTGGTATCCACCTGCAGGATGGGCAGCAGTAGGTGAGCAGTGCCAGGTGAGATGATTTCAGTGCGGGCTCACGGCCGTGGAGATGTTGACAGATCGGTCGTGTGGGTGGATCTGTAGTTGCAGTGGGCCATCGACGTCTCTGCAGCCTCGGTCTTTCACTGTTACGTGTGTATATATCAGCCTCCTCCACTAGATTATAGCAGTGCTGGCTTTCACATGCTTGCATCCCAGGTCTCTGGCATGGTGTCTTGCACACAAAGAGGGGATTTATTCATAGTACATTTTGTGGAATTTTATTCACAAGGTATTGGCTTTAGGAGTGAGATTGAGTATGAGCAGTTTGCAGCAGAAGGAAAGTACAATTACATGTATATAAAATTATGTCTATAATATATGCATGCATATATATTTACACACACACATACATGCCTATGTCTTAACTTTCTTGCATCACTAGTGAAGGATCTAGTGAATTTTTTTCATCGTGGAAAGACTTATTCTTATCAGTATTCTCTTGCCGTGATTAGAACATCTTATGGTAATTATATAGGCAGATCATGATGGTAATAACTCTCTTCTCACTTGATTATCTAGCAATTCCAACTACCTGGAATAAAACCCAGAAATAGCCCTGCAAGAGGCTGACAGAGGTTGATGGCAGTGTAGGAGTATAAAGAAATTACCGCCTTTCTTAATAAAATAAAATCCAGAACTTCCAGAATTTAGCTCTGGAAGGAGAACCTTTTAGGGAGAAGATGGAGATAGATGAAATGGCCCCCAATGCTGTCTTAAGTTTCATTTTTCCTTTTGAACTTTATTGCTTTTATTCCCACAGTTTCCAGATGTTCTTCTTTTAACAGTTTGGTTTTCCTTGAGTATAGCCCAGAAAACTGGAAGTTCCTAAAATATTAAGTACTGTGTACTTAGGGACAGTAAAAGGTAAAGAAACACAAAATTTAGTGGAAATAACAGCAACAATGATGATCATGTTTTTGAGTTCTCAGTTTGTATAAACATTGTCCCGGCAGCACTGTACATAATCTCATTTAATTTCCCCAAGATCCTTTGAGGTATGTACTACATTTTATTTATGGGACACTCAAATTTAGGTTGACTAGCTTGTGCAGGGTTACACAGCTGTTAATAGTAGAGCCAGGATTTGAACCAAGGCAGTCTGACTTCAGAATCCTATATTTTTAGTCACTAAGCTATACCGCATTCCACAGTATTTTAGCATTAGTTCACTCAACAATTAAACTTTTTTTTTTTTGGTTTCTTCCATGTCCATTGTGATATGTGATCCATGTTAATGATCCATTTAAGGATAAGATAAACATGAAAAAGATAAACACATTGCCCTCACAGTCTTGTTGGGAAACACAAGACTGGGAGCTTGTAGTCTTTTTGGCAAACACACATTATTGCCATGCATTGTGGAGCCTAGGACAAGGTTGGCTCAGTCTGAGAGGGGCTGGGGAGGAGGGGAGTCCTGCACTGAGGCTGAGGATGCCCAAGTGTGTTGAGGCGTGGCGTTCAGGGAGTCAGGAAGAGCGCTCAGCTGTGAGGCAGCCCGGCAGAGCACTGGGAAGTGTTGCCTTGGGAAGCAGGGGCCTGACCATGAGGGAAGGCATTTAGACATTATTACAAGGGCAGTGGGAGCCAGTGGTAGGCTAATGCAGTCATTCATGTCTTAGCACTTATTCAAAAGAAGTGTTGAGTCCTGTACCATTCATTGGGGCATGGATGCTGTGAAAGTTGATGATAAAGAGGTTTGATCTAATTTGGAAGAAGGTTTAGGGAGACTTCTTAGGGGAAGGGAAGTCCATCTACTTCCGTTATTTATTTAGTTATCTGCAGTTGAAAAACCAATGCATGCACACAATAATAAAATGCAAACAGTACAGTAATACCCCAGACTACCAGGACTACTCTCCAGAGACAATCACTATTGACAGTTTTTAGTGTCTTCTAGAAATGCCCATTCTTCTGATGTGAGCAAAGCGGACAAAAGCATTATCTTCTTTCCATGAAGCAATTCCGACAGTAAAGCCCGAGTAAGGCAGGCCAGGCAGTCAGTACTGGAAAGGGGCCTTTCGTAAATTCCGTACCTGAGAAGGACACAGCATAGGCAGAGGTCCCCATACCCCTGTGTAGTCAGCGAGACACCGTCAATGCCTGTGAGACAGTGTGAATCCATTTCTACCTTTATTCTTAAACTTTTTTTTTTCTTTTTTAAAACACTCAAGTACTGGAGATAAAGTGAACATGCTCCCCGATCCCAATTGCTTCCCCAGAGGTAACCACTGTTAAGTACTTTTAGACTTAACAAGATGTCTTGGTGAGCTTCTCATGCTGTCTCATCTAGATCTTTGTAAGCGGTGTGTAATATTTCATATTATGCATATGTTAGCTTATTTGACCATTTTCTTATTAACAGATGTGAAGGGTTTCTGGCCTGAGTGATTTGGTAGGCTGTAAAGCTACTCACTGCCATAAAGAACAAAGGAAAAGGAGTCAGTTTGTAGGGGAAGTTGATGAGTGTGTGGAGCATCCACATGGACCTGCAGGCCTGGTGTCTGCAGAGCTGTTGGCTGGAGAGAAACATTTGGGAGTCATCAGTATAGGGGTGGGAATGAAAACCATAGAAGTAGATCTGGTCACCAAGGAAGAGGGATGAAGAGAGAAGAGAGGCTGCCTCTTCAAAGTGCAGGCTTCTGGTTCCAGCACAGCTACTCTGCCCGGGGATTCAGGGGGTTCTGGGAGGGAACCATGGCATGAAGTTCTCCACATGGGTCCTTGCCCAGGTTTTCTCTTTGTTACCTCTTGCTTGTTTCCCTGTAGTGGGTGCCATTCTCTCTTTTCCCAGGAGTTTCCTCATGTGCACTTTGATCTCTTTGCTGGTCTGCTGTGCCCACCAGGGCCTTAGGTTTATCTCACACTCACGAGACTCCCATAGGCCACACTTGCACAGCATGCTGCCAAGGGGATAGCATGGGGGCCACATCTTGCCAACCTGGCCGTGACAGATGTTCTCTCGGGGAGAGCTTGCAGCAGTCTGCACAGCTATGCAGAGGCTCTCTTCTTCCCAGGTGACCCCTCTAGTGCAGGGATACAAGACCCACATTGGTAGGTATAGGATCAGCCTTTATGTTTGAAGCCTTGTGCCCCATAGGGAGCCAGTGTATCCGAACAGTTTGTAGGCATAGCTTCTAGGGTCCTTGGCAGAGACACACCGTTTATTAGAGTTGTGCTCAAGGGGTGTCTAAAGCATGGCGTCTCCATCAGATATTTATGGTTCGTGCATGGTTTGTTGGAGCCCAGAAGCAGTTTACCAATCGGGCCATTCTTATAATAAGCAGTTTTGCTTAATGGCATTGTTGACATTCTTACCCTTGTTAGGGGAACAAAGCCAGATAGTTTCCCCAATTTTCCCATATTGGGGAAAGGGTTTTGTTGGCCTTTTCACCCACTGTTGGCCACACCAAGAAGGAAGTGGAGTGCATTTTTGGATATTTTGGATCTGCCTGCTCAGTGCCATTTCTAGGGTAAGAGACACTCTAGCAGTGACCTCAATTCTGACCACCTTCTTCACCCTCAGTTACGTGGAGTGAGGTCTCCAGTCTTAATTATTTCCTGATCTTATGAAGACTGGCTTTGGATGTGACAATCCTGAGTTTGAATTTGATGCCTATAGCTACCAGCTATATAACTTCCGATAATTCTCTTAGCCTCTCAGAGCCTCGGAAGCTTCATCTGTGAACTGTACATGTCTTACAGAGTTTGTGTAGAATGTGGTAAGTGCTTAATAAAGAGGCTGGCACAGAGCCAACCCTCACCGTATCATAACTTTTATCCTACAGCAGTCCTAATGGTTTGCCCATGCCATGATTAAACACATAGAATAATAGGGAATTTGTTTCCTCATATGTAATAAAGGTTTTCTTCCTTAGCACAGCAATTGATTACCTGGAATCATCAAGAAAACATTAAATTATATTCTTTATTTGTGTTAAGTAGAGAATTATGTAACTTTTAAAAAGATGTCTATGAAAGCAAACCACACAATTTTTTTAACTTAAAAAAATTAAGCTTTATTGTTATACCCAATAAGATGTCATTGTGGGACACATATTGGTATACTGAAGTGGTAGGTCATGAACTATCCAAACCAGCAAAACCCAACCCTCATCTGTATGTGGGACCAAGTTAGAATTGTCATAATGAGCAAGGACATCATAGTCCCGGACTGTAGGTGGAGAGTGTAGGACATGCGTTCTAAATTGGACATTTTATGGGCTTCCTAAGCTCTATGGACACCCTGAAGTTATATGCACAATAATGTGTCCTGTGAACTTTTGGTGAGGAGAGATGCCACAGTTTCACGCAGAAAGCATCCCAATCCTGATTGCCAAGGATCACTGGTATGGGGGCTGGGCCTGGGGCGGGTGTGAGGAGCAAGTTTCTAATAAATGGTGGAGAGAAGTATATAGAGGTGAGGAATTCCTGGGAGATCATTTTTGTATTTAATAGCTAGATTATGATCTTAAAGTTTGGAAATCTGTGGGAAAAATGCTGTAATTAATTTGACCTGTAACGAGTTTCAGATTGTTTGGGTCTGATGTCATGTGCATGTAATGCTGAATTCAATCTGGAAAGGTGCTTTTTACAACTATGATGAAGAAAGTTTGGAAAGAACCAGTTTCTTATGAAGTAATGGAAATATCTTGATTTATAAAATTTTAAGTTCTTTGTTTTTCACACTTGTTAAACACTTCTTGTGATCTAATCGTATTTCATTTGATGACACGGAACACAGTCCTTCTGAACTATGACCTGGGGGTGTCAGGTCACCACACCTGAGGAGACATTTGAGTGATGGGCTTCTTGGAATTTTATGGAATTGTTCCAAAATAGACTTGATATAGAATTAAATAGAAACTGTAAAATTACAGTTTAGATGGCTTAGCTAAAGCCATATAAATTCTATTTTATATAAAATTATAAGAAATTATTTTAGATATATTAAATATGATTGAGAGACTAGCTGATGAAAGGAAGAAATAGTATTTCATTTTGAGGAAAGAGAGAAACATCTGGTGAAATACTAGTGGTGTTCTTTTACCCTAAAGGAATGAATGTCCTCATAGAGTTATGAACTTTTCTTTTTCTTTTTTTTTTTTGAGACAGAGTCTCACTCTGTTGCCCAGGCTAGAGTGCCGTGGCGTCAGCTTCGCTCACAGCAACCTCAGACTTCTGGGCTCAAGCAATCCTTTTGTCTCACCCTCCTGAGTAGCTGGGACTATAGGCATGTGCCATCATGCCCAGCTAATTTTTTCTATATAGTTTTAGTTGGCCAATTAATTTCTTTCTGTTTTTTAGTAGAGATGGGGTCTCACTCTTGCTCAGGCTGGTTTCCAACTCCTGACCTTGAGCAGTCTACCTGCCTCAGCATCCTAGAGTGCTAGGATTACAGGCCTGAGCCACCATGCCTGGCCGAGTTACCAACTTTTAGATGGTAGAAGGATTGTGGCAATTAATTATCTGTTCCAGCTTGTGCCCAGTAAGGAAGCTGAACCCCACAGAGGGCAAGTGATCAGTCAGTCTCAGAGATCAGTGGCAGAATGATTAGAAGTCAGGCGTTTTGATTTATGGGCCAGTCATTTGCTCTTCCATCAGTAGTTCTCAAACTTACGGTACATCAGAGTCAGCTGGAGGGTTTGTGAAAACATATTCCTGGGCGTCACCTAGAGACTGATTTAGCAGGTCAGGGGTAAAAGACTCAAGAATTTGCATTTCTGACAAATTCCCAGGTGATGTTGAAGCTGCTCCTCCTGAGATCACAGGCTTTGATCTGTCAGATCTCTTGTAAGAGTAGATTAAGTAAATCTCCAAGGGTTTATACCAGCCCAATGTTTCTCCTGTTACTCAGAGAATCAACTTCTTTACTTTTGTGTCTTTTTTAAAAAAGATAATACACATAGTGATTAGATGGGGGAAAAAGAATAGAAAAGGAATATTTCTCACAGAGAGTCATTGTTGAATTTTGGCCATAATTTTGGAGCTAATTCTTTTTGTTAGAACCACTGACCATCGAAGGGCATGAGCTTGAGTCTTACCCACATTTACTCTAGAAAGGGGGTCCAGATTGATTGCTAGAGTGTATAGGAGTGAATAATTACTTCCAGTTTTGTTACTCTATGCTCTTCTCTGTTATTTTGTGTACTTAAGTGTTTCCTTCTTATATATCAAAATCTCATCAGGCCTTAGCACAGTTACATGTCCACAGTAATGTTAAATTAATATAAGTTGAGATAAACTAAAAAAGGGTAAAGGGGAAGATAAGATAAGATAGGTCATTTATCTAGAGACTTCAGTGCCTGAGAGAATTACTCTGGTCTCTAGAGTGTTCCAGTCACAGGCTCTTACTGAACAATTAAAATTTATTTATTCCATTTTAATCCTTATTTGCCATTATTGAGATTTTTTTTTAGCACAATTGTTGGAGGAGGTAGTGTATTTTTCACTTCAAATCAATGAATGATCTTTCCCCTGTCTTTTTACCTGAGTAAAAAAAAAGTCCAAAATGACTTTTTAAAACTTTTTCTTTGAAATAATTTTAGAATTAAAAAAACTGCACAAGACAAACCTGCAGGCCCTCAATTTGCAACAAATGGTGGCTTATCTCTGGTAAACAGTTTATATTAAAACATTCCAGATCTTTAGACAAAGCTTCATGTCTTTAGCCAATTACAATCTAAAGAATCTTTAAACCCACCTATAACCTGTAAGCCCCCGCTTCGAGATGGCCCTCCTTTTTGGGCCAAACCAGTGTATGTCTCCCACACATTGGTTGATGGCTTTACCCGTAACCCTTGTCTCTAAAATGTATAAAAACCAAACTGTAACCTAGCCACAGTGAGTCCACTTGGCCAAGGCCTCTTGGCAGTGGCTCCGGGTCATGGTGCTCAAATTTGGCTCAGAATAAATCTCTTTAAAATTAAAAAAAAAAAAAATTGCAGTAATAGTCCAGAGAGTTCCTGTGTGTATACTTTCAGCCAGCATCTGCTGTTGTTAAAATCTGTGTATCCATCGTACAATTATTGAAGGCAGGCAATTGATACAACTAATCTAAAGATTTTTTTCACATTTCACTAACTGGTCCACTGATGTCCTTTTTTTCTGGTCCAGGATCCAATCCAGTATCCTGTGTTGCCTTTGTCTTAGTGTCTTCCACTCTGTGATGGTTGCTTTTAGATTTCTTTGTCTTTTAAGACCTTGATACTTTTGAAGAACACCGGCCAATTATTTTGTATAATGTCCCTCAGTTTGCATTTGTCTGATGTTCTTTAACGATTGAGAGTTAAACATTTTTGGTAAGAGTACCACAGAGGTGAAGTCATGCTCTTGCTAGAGTGCGCTATATCGGGGGTACACGATAGGGAAATGTCTTATTACTGGTGAATGTGAACTTTGATTTCTGGGTTGAGATGGTGTGTCAGGTTTCTATACTCTGTCTAAAGTAAAAACATTTCCCTTTGTGATTAATGAGTCTCATAATTTTTCTGATTTTGGTATAAAAGTTTAAAAGAACATAATATCAATAGAATCTTTTGAGTTTGACCCTAACTGTGAGATATTTCACATCTTGGAAAGCCTCTTTATTATTTGTTAGAACCAAACATAGCAGGGAAAGGTAATGGTATAGGCTGTGTTAGAAGAACAACTATTTGCTCAAGAGCTGATTGTACTTGATGCCATTCAGTCTTGAATTGGCACCTGTGGAAACTGTTTCAATTCTTTCGCTGTGGTTCTGCAGTGTGTCTCATATCTATCTTCAGTATATGACTTTCTATAACTGGGTTGCATTTCTTAGAACTCTCCTTTGAGCATTTTTGTAGAAAGTGGATGTACAGTCACATGTCACTTAACTATGGGGATAACGTTCAGAGAAATGAATTATTAGGTGATTTTGTCGTCCTGAGAACATCCTAGAGTGCACTTACACAAACCTACATGGACTAGCCTACTGCACACTGAGACTGTGTGATATAGCCTGTTGTGCCTAGGCTGAAAACCTGCACAGCATGTTACTGTACTGGATACTGTAGGCAATTGTGACAACACGGTAAGTATTTGTGTGTCTCAATCTATCTAAACATAGAAAAGGTGCAGTAAAAACAAATCACAGAAAATGTAAACCATAAAGAAAAAGATCAATACGTTTGACAACGTTAGTATTGTTGAAATTAAGAAAGTGAACAGACAGGTCACAAGGGAGAATAGATACATTCAGTACATGTTACTTATACAAAATTAGGATCTGAAAGAGTAAGCAGCTATTAATATAAATAAGTAAGAACATAGAAAAATAGACAAATGACCTGAATAGGCATCTCACAGAAGAGAGGAAACCTGAATGCAAAAATGCCCAACTTCATCAGTAATTAGAGAAATGCAAATTAGGACCAAAATGGTTTCATACATGTTAGGTTGGCATCAGTGTAAAAAGTTTGACAATACTGTTGGGAGGATAGGAAACAACTGGAATGCTTATATACAACTGGTAGGAGTATAAATTGGTATAGTGACTTTGGGAGTAATGTAATAAAGTTGAGATTTATGTACCTTTCGATCCATTAATTCCATTCAGTCTTTGTCTCAGAGCAGTGGTTCTAAATTGTTTCCCAGCATCACTTGGGAACTTGATCAAAATGCATAATTTTGGGTCCCAGTCTAGATCTACTGAATCAGTAACTTTGGGGATGGGCCAGGTTTCTGACTTACCAAGCCTTCC